CCACTGGGCCACAGAGGTAGGGTTACCAACTTTCTAGTCGCACAAAACCGAACACCCTAGCCCCACGCCTTCCCCGAGGGCCCACCCCCCGCTCACTACATTCCCCCTCCCTCGGTGGCTTGTTCTCCCCAACCCTCACTCACTGTCACTGGGCTGGGGCATGGGGTTGGGGTGCGGAACGGGGTGAGGGCTGTAACTGGGGGTGTGGGCTCCGGGGTGGGGCCAGAAATGAGGGTTCAGGGTGCAGGAGGCGGCTCCAGGCTGGGGCAGAGAGTTGGGATATGGGGGGAGGGCCCAGGCTGGGGGTGTGGGCTATAGGGTGGGGCTGGGGATGAGGAGTTTGGGGTGCAGGAGGGGGCTCCAGGCTGGAGCGTGGGGCTGAGGGATTCAGAGTGGGGGAGGGGCTGTGGGTTGAGGCAGGGGGTTGAGTGTGGGAGGGGGTGAGGGCTCTGGGCTGAGGGTGTTGGCTCTGGGGTGGGGCCAGGGATGAGGGGTTTGGGGTGCAGGAGGGGGCTCCAGCTTGGGGGGTGAGGCCGAGGGATTCGGAGTGTGGGAGGGGGCTGTGGGTTGAAGCAGGGGTTGGGGGTGCAGGAGGGGGTGAGGGCTCTGGAGTGGGGCCGGAGATGAGGGGTTCAGGGTGTGGGAGGGGGCTCTGGACAGGGGTAGGGGGTTAGGGGCTCTGGGGTGGGGATGGGGATGAGAGGTTTGGGGTGCAGGAGGGAGCTCCAGGTTCAGGGGGCTCAGGGCTGGGGTTGGGGGGCAGGGGAGTGAGGGCTCTGGGGTGGGGATGGGGATGAGAGGTTTGGGGTGCAGGAGAAAGCTCTGGGTTTGGGGGGGCTCAGGGCTGGGGCAGGTGTTGGGGCACGGGCTTACCTCGGGCGGCTCCTGGTCAGCGGCACAGCCGGGGGCATGGGGGCTAAGGCAGGCTAGCTGCCTGTCCTGGTACCACGCTGTGCACGCCCCAGAAGCAACCAGCAGGTCTGGATCCTAGGTGGTGAGGAACAGGAGGCTCCATGTGCCACTCTCACCCGCAGGCATCGCCACCGGCCAATATGAGTGCGGAGTTGATGCTCGGGGCAGTGCACAGAGCCCCATGGCCCCACCACCTAGGAGCCAGACGTGCTGGCTGCTTCCGGGGTGCAGCACAGTGCCAGCCAGGACAGGTAGAGACTAGCCTGCCTTAGCATCGCCGACTGGACCTTTAACGGCCCGGTAGGTGGTGCTGACCGGAGCCGCCAGGGTCCCTTTTCGACCAAGTGTTCCAGTCGAAAACTGGACACCGGGTCACCCTACACAGAGGGTATGTCTATACTGCATTAAAAACCCGCGGCTGACCCATGCCAGCTGGCTCAGGCTAAGGGGCTGTTTAATTGTGATGCAGATGCTCGGGCTCATGCTCAAGCCTGGGCTCCAGGACCCTGCGAGCATGGGATTGCACAGAGGGGGCCAGGAAAACAAGGGGATTTTATCACCTTTGTGCAGCCTTCTAGGTGTCTGCATAGGGTAGATGAAGGCCTGGGAGCTCGGTGATGCTCAGTGCCCATAACCAGACCCCATATGTCCCTCTGCGGGCTGCCAGCGTGTCCTAACTGAGGACCTTTCTGAAACAAAGCTTGTCTCTTTCCTCTCCCTGCTCGGAAGGGCTGGGTCCTGGCTGAGTTTCCTGTTTGTGTTACAGCTACAGACTATCCAGCAGGCTTTTTCTTTTGGGGTGGGGGAAGGGGGAGAGCAGCAGTCTACCTGGAGCTGAAGGGCCAGTAACTCCTTCCCCTGGCTCAGGGTAGCATTATCGAAGCCCCCAATCCTCACTCCCTCTCTGCATCTGTTACACCAGCATTTTAAGACCTGGTCGCATTTGCTGCTGTGATTCTCTCTGCACTGGAGGTGCCAGGCGGAGTCAAACTCTGGTCTCTCTGATCCACCTGCTTCTCTCCTCTGGACCCTGACTTCCACTCCCCTCTCTGCTCCAGGGCGGCTTTGCTCTCGGATCCACTAAGGCTTTGGCTTGGATGAAGCAATAGAGAAGAGAATGGAAGAAAAATGAATGGGGAACAGGTGTCGTCCTGTATGGTGCCCACTTGGGGGGCAGCATCCTCCTCCTGTGATGGCACTGAGGTGCACAAGCAGATGTCATCCCAGGACAATGTCTCCCTTCCACTTACATGCAAGGACATCCCTTCACGCAGTGTTTCACATTGAGTCAAATGGTGCCAGCAGTGTGGAAAGTATTTCCAGTCTTGGTGCTGAACAAGAGACGCATGGGCCCAGACGCATCAGGAAGAGCTGAAAATCACACCACAAAGCCCAATCTTGGCAGATTTTCCGCCCAAAGACATCAGGAGAAGAGTCTGAACATTTGGATCCAAGCTGCCAAGCTTCAGACCCTATGGGTCTGTGTTGCTCATGGGAGTCACTAACACCTCTTTAACAGTGAGCTGTGACTGTTTCTTATGGGGTGGACTGGCTGCTTAGCCCATTGGATTGGTAATGGAATAAGGTACTTGTCACCTCCAGCCCAGGGATCTGGTGCTGCAGGCAAAAGCAGGCCCAGCTGATAGTGACCAAAAGTCATTCCCAACTGATGACCATTTGGTGGCATCATCATCTCTGGGCATAACAGCAACAATTCAAACAAACATCCCATCGCTAAATAACAACCTGGCACAGGTCAGTCCCAAAAGGTCTCCCTACCCCCCGCTGCGGGAGAGGAAGGCTGGTCCAGTAGCTAAGGCACTCCCCCAGGGCTTGGGAGACCTGGGTTGGATTCCCACGTCCACTGTGGACCTCCTGGGTGATCTTGGGTGTCATTTAGTCGCTCTGTGGTTCAGGTCTCCACCTATACATTGGAATGATGGGTGATGTGAGGATAAATACATTCAAGGTGTGACACAGTCAGAGAATATGGTTGTGGGGACTGGATAAGTAAAAGGGGGGCTAGATGGTCACAGCAGCAGTTTGCCCACCCTCAAACAGAAGTATGTGAGCCTTACACCATGGCCTGAAATTCACTGAACTTGGGTTGTGTCAGACCAATGGGAGAAGTGAATCCAGAGCTGAGGGCCTCTGCCCACTGAGAATGCCCTGCAGGTCCCCAGCCCCGAGACTGCCTGTGCAGGTGCCCTAGCTCTCCTCCCCTTGTGAAAGTGCCTATCCCTGTGGCTGCCAAGACTTTCAGGTCAAGCCCAGCACCCAGGCCTCAGCCCTTCACCAGCTCTTTGTGGCGAATCAGGGATCATCCCAGCCAGCATTAATGGCCCCTCAGTGGGAGCCTGAGCAGAAAAGCCAAGGGCTGCATGAGCCATGGAGACTGAACTCCCCTCTCGCCCCAGGGAAGGGCTGAGGCATGTTGCCATGGAGTAAGTCTGCCCTGCCCATGTTCATGCTGTACCTGCTGTGGGTGTTCACGGTGCAGCCCCACAAGGGTCCGAGATGGCACAAGTGCTGCTTTCGTGTTGGGAGCATCATCCCTGGCCTCTCCCCACTCTGAAGAGGTGCCGGAAGGGGGAGGCTCTCTGACAACTCTGAAAGAGAGTAGCAAGGCACCAGGTTCACATAGGGCTCAAGCCACCGCTGCTCTGCTGCCTCGTGGCTGGGCTCTTGTCCAGCTGGCGTGATTTCTGCCTGCAGGCGGGGCTGTAAATTAGGCTGCTGGGCTGGGTGCTGCCTTCACTCATGAGGACAATAGAGGAAGCACTGAGGTCTTTCCACTCGAGATATAAATCTCCTATTCGAGAGCGGAAAGGGAGACCCAGATTAGAAACTATACGCAGGCGGGCGTCAGACTGCACTGGAGAGAGATGCAGACTGTGAGAGCAAACCAGAGAGGGGTGGGAGAGACAGGGGCCACGTTCATTCACCCCTGTGCGGGCAGTAGGGTCGGCACAGGGATGGAAGAGAGATGCTTGTGCCTCCCTGATTCCGGGACTGCTGGGTCAGTTAGGCTCTTGGTTCCGCATGCAGCCATGGAATAGCCAGGGTGTAGGGTCATGCTCCTCCCATCCCTGGCTTCTGGACAGGGAAGGCAAATGCTGGATACAGGGTATTGCCTGGGCTGGGGGATGCTTATGGCCCCTCTATATTGGCGCAGCCTGTGCAAAGGGACAGCAATGCAGGGTGAATTCCTCCAAGAGAGAGAGAAGACATGCCAAATTCTGTGGCCGGGTGCTTTTCTATGGTGCTTAGTGCTAAAATAATGGCAAGCAGACCTTAGGCATGCACTGATCACAGCAGGTGGCTGGGAGGAAATCTCTCTGCATGTAGGGGATTGTATTTGGGACTCAGTGAATCCCCCACCGCAGAAGTGCACCCAGAACCTGGCAGCGATCCCTAGGGAGTGACAAACTGCAGGGAAGTACAGCTTTGTAATGTCCTGGGGATGTCCCCTCCACGTTCCTGACCAGGATGCTAGAACAACAACCCAGAGAATCAGCCCAGGTTTTACACCAAGCCCCGGTGGGCTGAGCTGGGACTTTGGAGGTTTATTCAGTGCCCATAGATTTCTGTGCCATCCAGACATAATCAGAGGAGCTCGGTTCTAAACCCATCAGAGTATGAATCTAAGGAGTTCCCAGTAACTGGGTGGCACAGCAGGATCTGGACTCTGACATTCGGGTTCTCTCTCTGCTAGACTCAGCCTGCCTGTGGGCCTTTCCTCTCACACTCAGTTTGCTGCTGCTGCAGAGGTGGAGGCCAGACACTAGCCCAGGCACTGGTGGACTCGTCCAGGGAGCAGGGTGGAAAGGGAGTCCCCTGGCATGCAGTGGCAGGGTCCAGAGGGCTGTGCATCACCCTAGACCTGGAGGAGTCCTTTGTATGGACAGGGAGGGTGGTGACAGCCCGCTCCAGATGCTCGCTGAGGTTGTCAGGACCTGACAGTGAGGATGACGGCTCCCTCCCTTCCCCCATGGATGAGCTGAGACAGGGACGATATCAAAGCAGGGGCCACTCCTCCCAACCCAGGGGGATTAGGTGATTAAGGGCTTTTATTGTTGTTTTTCCAGGTTCCAGCAAAGGATACTTGGCAGGATTAGGCTGATGAAGACCCCCTCCCCCAATCACAGAGAGATAACAGTACCTCAAAGAGAAGAAGCTGCCCAGACGACAGACAGAAGGTGTCCCAGGAGCAGAACCATCTCTCAGCGACCTCTGCTGTCCCCTCCACCTCCTGATACCTCTTCACACAGTGGGACCTCTGGCTCCCTCTCAGCAGGTATTATTGCTTGGCAACTCAGCCCACAACCCATCAATCGCAGCCATGGCCACGAGGGAAGTCGAAGTCTGTGCTTAGTTTTATAAGCTGGTCTGTCCAGGTGACGCCGTGTCAGGGTCTGGGTGCAGCCATTAGCTGTGTCTGCTGTTAAAAGAAGAGCAATTATGTAAACATGGCCTTTCTTTACTCAACACGTGGCACTGGCCCTGTGCATTGCACTGAGGAAGGGAGGAAGGATGGGCTTGTGGTTAAGGCGGAGAACTGGGTTCAATTCCTGGCTCTGCCATAGGTTTCCTGTGTGACCTTGGGCCAGTCACATATTCCATAGGTGCCTCTGATCCCCATGGGTAAAGTGGGGATAATATTCCCTTCCTCCCAGCCCTTGTCTATTTGGACTGTAACCCGGAGTATCTCACACTACGTGTGTGAGCAGTGCCCAGCGCAATGGAGCCCTGATCCTCACTGGGGTCTCTGGGCACTGCCGTAAGACATGTAATAATCGGCTGACTTTACCGCTTGCTGCAAAAAGTTCCTATGCTCGTTAGCCCTGTTGGACCAGCTGCAGCTGCAGGAAAGTGAGCTGGGGCCCCTTCAGCTTCCCTGAGCAAATGGCCTGCTTGGTTCCTGCTGCAGAATCTTTCCTAGCAGCCCTGGTGTCGGAGGCAGGAAGGGCCCAGCAGAAGTTGTGGACACGGAGGGAGGTTGGAGGGTTGTTTGCAGCATCAACAGAAAAATTGAGCCCATTAGGTCTGGTAAGATCATTTGAGCAGATACTGCACTTATTTATCTACCTCCCCACACACACACTCACCTCATTGCCTCTGCTGGGGTGAGGGGGCTGGCCCAGTGGAAGAGAGTGGCAGGGAGTTCACAATCCCCCTTTCACAGAAGTGCCTTACAGAGCGTAACTGTGCTATAACAGAATGGAAATCCCTGCCCGGCGGGCACACAGGGGATATGCAGCAACAATCCTAGGGTGTGAGCAGCTACATGAGAGGCAAACCAAGACCCTCTGCCATGATTTCACGGCAGTGTCCTTCCATGAGTCAAATTCAGCAACTTGGTCCCCTCCTTCCTCCTGCCCTCTGCTGCACTAGGACAGACCAAGGAGCCAGTGCCACTATGCTCATGAAACACTCGGCTCTTCATTATTGGGGACAGAGGACATTTACAGCAGCTTTGGCCATCCATGGGACAGTGGTACAGCATGCGTTACTTCAGCACTCTCTCATGGCGAGGACGCATAGGGCAGCAGACCGCCTCTGGGACCATGCCTGGGCCACGTGGCAGTGGGTTCCACCTTACTGTGCTGCGGTGTTTGCTCTGCAGACATTTCCTCTCTCACGTTGTATCTTATGAATCTGCTGCTCGCCCTACAGCATTGCAGTCACTGTGCAGGAATCACCTGGCTTATCATGTGATCACCAGATTTCCAAAAGGATTCAGTGCGATACATATGGGTAACCAGCCACTGGATGGCGCTCTCATCCCACACAAAATGCCACCCAAATGGCATTTATCTGGCCTGTAGATGAAGCAGTGGGTAGCATGGTGATCCAGCCAGCTGTAACAGGGCTACAGTATCCAGTATGGCGAGACTATACCAAACACAGTGAAAGAGACAACAATTCTATGGCTGCTGTACCAGGTATGGTGAGGATATGAACACACAGTCAGTCAGGGCACCAGAGGGGGAACCATTTCACAAGCTGGATAAATTCACTTCCCTGTTTACAAAGCCACCTGTTAGAAAGCAGTACACAGCTAAGAGCACGTGCCCCTTAACTGGCAGGCTGCAGCCGAGGGCTTATCTACATGCACAAGTTGCACTGGTTTAACTTCAATCAGTTTAGTGAAACTTGTGAAACTTTTTTTCATGGACTCTCTCATAGAAGTTTAAAACTAGTTATGCTGTTTTAGTTTGCACCTGCACATTTACTGAAGCGCCAAACTGCTATAAGCCAGGTTTACACTACGAGAGGAGTGTCCACACACAAAGCTGCACCAGTTTCACTAAACTGGTGCAAAATAACACCTGTAGTTAAATAAGCACAGATTTGGACTGTCTTTTACCAGATCCAACGTGCTGAGAACTGGGGAGATTCAATACACCACACACTTTCTGGCAGTTCAGCCCCAGGGGCTGCTGGCCTGGAGAGGCCTGGTTAGGATTGGGTCAGAGTCCCCATGCTGGGCCAGTTTGACAAGGCAGGGGAACTTGTTTGTTTGAATCCACTCGGTAATTACTGCCTCTTAGCATCCGTTAAGTGCCAGTGCCCAGACCCCAGCCCTCCCCACACTGTAGTGATGCGTTTGTGAAACACACGGTGTTTGCGGTTGACCAGAGCTCTGAAATAAGTGAGGCCGGAATTCATGCACTGTTCTGTATCCTGATGTGGTAAGGAGCTCAGGCCTGCCTGAGGGAGGGCGGGGGGGATAACGGAGGCTGCTGGTGCCAGCAGAGGCTGTGAGGCCACTGCCAAGAGCCTGTGCAGGGGCCCTCCGAGGCTCCAGCCAGCTCAACCTGGCACTAACGGAACTGTGATAAAAATGAATCTGTCCAGGACACCGGAGGGGGGGGAGATTAATGTCTGAATTGTCAACAAGCAAGCGAACAAATGTCACAGGAGGAAACGAAGGGCTGACGAGAATCAAACAGATCTTAGGGGTGAGATGCTGCTTCCCCCACCGCGTGCTGAGCTGTACGGCCCTGCTGCTCCTTTGCCGCTGCAGCATTGCCCAGCCATGAGAGGAGTGGGAGGGAAGCCCACACTGTCCCCTAGGGTAGCCTTGTGGTGCACATTTCAACCTGCCTCCTGATGTTTAGCTGGCAGATCATAAAGGCACCTCCTGGATCCCCAGGGTAGGGGGATGGCCTGGCTCGTCAATAACTCTGTCCAAGTGCTAATGTTAGAAACATTGATTACCTGGCATGGTGTTGTGATCTCCCTGTGGGGGAATCCCTGCTGACACTTCGCAATCCAAATACAAAGTAGCCAGGTGTTCCCCTGGTCAGTCACCCTGCTGCATCCCATTCCAGAGCTGGCTGCATTTCAGTGGTGGGTGGAATGTTTTCCTCTTGAAAGCAGTGGGAGTTCCAGCCATGTACCCGAGGATCCTAGTTTGTAATAAAGCACTTCACACTTTCAGGTGCTATAGAAATGGTAAGTTATTACTATCAGTCCATCCTGCATCTTCCCCACCAGCAGACACCTGGATAGATGCGTGTTTATCTCTTTGCCCAGTTGGCTTCCAAAAACACTATTTTAAAAGCATCCACTAAAATTTCCCCTGTTTCTTTGTCCGTTGCCTCTAGGGTTCTGGAATGGACCCCACAGCAACTGCTCAGTCTTCAGTTCTCATTTCTTGACTGCATAGTTTTCCTCCAGAGTTTTCTCCTTCCTTCCTTTTCAGTGAACTTCAGTCCAGTTGCAGCAGCAGCTCTGTCTCTTGCTTTCCCTCCTTATCCTTGTCTCATGTAGACAAAAGCAAGTAGAGGTTTGCACCACCAGAGCTAATTGGGATTTAGGGTTGAACCTTGATTAACTCAATCACTGCAAGCCCCAGCTTGCCCTTGTCTACTGCGTCTCAGAGCCCAGGTCAGTTGACTTGGGCTGCAAAGCTAAAGGTAGCAGTGTGGACATTTGGGTTTGCACTGCAACCTGGGTTCCCAAACCCGCAGAGGGTCTCATTCCCCAGGCTTCAGCCCAAGCCCGAACATCTATGCTGCTATTTTTAGCCCCACTGCCTGAACCTGCGAGCCTGAGTCAATCGACGCAGGCGCTGAGACTCAGTGCCGTGGGTTTTCTTTGCAGTGTAGATGTAGACTTAGGGGTTAGCATTGAAGCTAACCAGCCAGCAGCTACATCGATTGCTGTATCAGGGCTATTCCCAAGCAGAGACAAGGCCTTTATAAACAATGAGGCAAGCAGTTTAGTTAGCTTACTCTGGGGCCAGTGTGTGCAGTCCTTGCAGTTCATAAATTCTCCCTTGCCATATGTGTGACTCCAGTGTATGTATGGTAACCTGCCATATCTTCTCTATGTCAATCTCCTTCCCCATTCTCCACCTTAGGCAGGGATCTTTTCCACTCTTTGTGTTTCTCCCTTCAGTATATAGGACTCCTTTGTACCCCCTTATCTGTCCCACATTAGTATGGTCTTATTCATGGCATCTCGGTTTAAGAATGCTAGGCCTTGAGCACCTGCTTATTGAACTGTCTGCTTCCACTGTGTGACATCTATTCATATCACCCTGGGCTCCTGCCCCTTTATTATGCATTTGGGGCATTTCCAATTCCCCCCCCTTTACTGGCCTCACTTTAGGCCTAGATTACAGTGGCTCCTTCACACCTCTTCCCCTTCCAACCATCCGTGCCCTCTCTGAGTTGCTCCCAACCACATCAAGAACTGCTCCCTGTCTACTCTCTCCTGAAGGGAGGGGATTCAAGGATCTCTCTCCCCCCACACACTTATTGGGGGATGAAGTCAGCCTGTATCTTGCCCACAATGCCATGGTTTAGTTTACCCCATCAGGTTGCTGACGAGCCTTCCCAGCTTCTGCACAGGGTTTAGTAATCTCACAATCCTGTTCACTTTTCAGGATCATCTCTCTGTAAGATGGTGGCATCCCACCCCCTGTTCCTAACACAGCACACACTGGGTCTGCTCCCAGTTAAAGCCCTGCCTTGTTAATTAAAACTACAGAACCTAAACCCCAGTAAGTTTCCTCCTCTGCTCTGCTGATGGTAGGTTCCTCCTTGCAGCAGCACTCCCTTTGCCCCTGCACCTAGTGCACCTGTGGCCTAGCAGAGCGAGCACTGGACTGGGACCCAGGAAACATAAGTTTAACTGGCCCTGCTGGGTGACCTTGAGCAAGTCACGTCTTGGCTTTGTGCCTCAGTTTCCCTACCTATAAAATGGGGACAATGCTGTTGACTGCCTTTGTAAAGGGCTGTGAGATCTATGGATAAAAAGTGTGCTATATAACAGCTAGGAATTATTGTTACTTCTCTCTGGCTACACTCAACTCTTTTTACACTTTTTTACACCCTCTCTCTCTGTGCTTCTGCCTCATGTCTCTTCTGTCTGGTTCCATGCACATGAGACAGATTGTGGCTGTAGTGCTGACCAGACTAAGGGTGAGCAAAGGCAGCAACCATACCATGAAATGATAATAACGAATAATAATATTGGGGAGACACGGTAACCAGGCTTGTTTGGCTCCGGCCAGGGTCAGTTCTGACTCAGGCACGTCCCTGGGCCAGCTCAGTCACCCCTGGTGTATCTAGTGCTTCTGTGAATCAGGAACAACTAAGTCAGGAGCCCTCCTTTACCCGGTAAACTCCGCGGGGGGGCGGACTTGGCTCATCAGCTCCAGTCTGTTCTTAACTCCAAAGACTGCCTTGGGGGGGCATCTAGTGGTTGCTGTGTCTCACTGCGCTTATCAGGGTGCAAATGAAGGTGAAATTGCATAGCTGGAGCAAGATGTCATCACTGTGGTGACAGTGAAGGGGGAATAAGTCTATTGTTCAGAGGGCAGGGGAAGGTGTGTCCCTCAATTGGAATAAGTCTTTCAATTTGGGGGAGTTCAAAGAACCAGCTTGCTGCCCTCCCTAAAACCCTAAGGCTAGCCTTCCCTGTGGCTCCTGCACCTGCATGTTGTTGTTATTGATTTGTATTCCAATAGCTCCTAGAGCTGAGATCAGGGCCCCATAATGCAGGATACTGTACACACATACACACACTGAGAGACAGCCCCTTCCTCAAAGTGCTAACAACCTAAATAGACAAGACAAAGGGCAAGAGAAAGGAAATATTATTAACCCGCTCTTTACAGTTGGGAAACCGAGGCCCAGAGAGATTAAATGACCTGCCCAAAGTCACATAGGAAGTCAGTGGCAGAGCAGGGCACTGACCAGAGAGCTCCTGAGTCCCCGTTCTGTGCTTTGTCTACAAGACCACTGCCATAGGCTCCTTTTAATTTTGGTGCCATCCTTGAGCTCCTGGCAAGTTCCTGGCATTGGCTCCAGTTGGGTGCCCCACTAACACCCTTGGGATCACAGCTGTCTCGCTAGAAGAAAAGGCTTCCAATGCCATTCAGATAATAAAGCTAGTGACTGCTGTCTGACCAGCCTGCTTATCTACTGATAGACAGCCCAAGGCACTGTGGCTGGTCACTTTTATTCCTGTACTGTACAGTGTATTGCTGATTTGCAGTGTCTGTTGAAAAGTTTCATGAACTCTATTCTGGCTATGCCAATGTACGGTGAGATTTTGTATAGGCAGCATCCATAGATGTGGCAGGGAAAAGGGGTGAAGGAGATTATTACACATATCCACTGGCACCTAGATACTACGGCCAGTTGGTGGAATAGCCTGTCTGCTTTTAATATTTCATGCGAGACTCAAACCAGGGCCCTCGTGAGATCTTCGAACTACAGACACCAGAGATGGAAAAGACTTAAGGCCCCCTTGAGTTCTTCTCCCGTGGGCAGTGCAGGAATGTTCCCTAGCGAATGCTTTAAAGGGCAGTTGTATGTTTAGGAATCGCCAAGCACCTGCTTAGATTCCTTAACAGAACGCTTATATTAAACAAGAAAAACAGCTGCTCCCATGAGCACTGACTTAGCCCATGTGCATACAGGATGCTGTAAACATTTCTTAGCGGATTGTACTAGTATCCATCACCTTAATGTCTGAGTGCAATATAACAATGGTGCAACACGCATAGCTAACAAGTGACCTGTCCAGCCTAGGTTTCAGAGACCTAATTACTCGGTTTCAAAGCACTAAATACTGAATCTGCAGTTAGGTTTATATGCAATTATGTATGCACAGGGAGTCTAGCATATTCTAAGGGCAGAATTGTAAAGAGTCACACAAGTAGGTGTTTTGATGCAGGGAAGTTGTGTGTCAGTATCTATAGAAACCCATAGGGGCCTGGCATGTGTTATGGAGAGACAGTGTGTCCTAGTGGATAACACTCTGGACTGGGTTCTAGTTCTAGTTTTGCCACTGACCTGCTGGGTAACCATGGTCAAATCACATCACCACTCCGTGCCTCAGTTTTCCCATCTGTATAATGGAGATAATGCTGCCTCTTTTGTAAAGCACTGTGAGATCTACTGATGAAAAGTACAATGATCTATTAATTATTATAATTCTACATATATAATTAGAGCTGTTCGGAAAATTTTTGACTTTTTTTTTATGAAACTCATCTGTGAAAATGGTCAAAAAATATTTTCCTGCTTTCCACTCAGTCCTTATAGCTGGTCAAATAATCTCGTGTACAAAATATTTTTGGCCCGCTCTAATCATTCTATATAGGAGAATGGAGAGATAATCAGTGTTGTGCATTTAAGCCCGAGGAGATACACAAATGTAAGGAGTGGGGTTTCTACCTACAAACCAGGCTCTGGGGGGGCTGAGTGTTGTAGTTCAGACTCTTAGACGTTCCCTTGTTTTCTTCTCAGGAGCTGTGAGGAGAGCTGGGTGAACGTTGGGGGAAATGGTGGGCAAATATTTTCAGGAATTCTGAATCACTTTTCAGTTCAGCTGCCTTCATTCCCCTCTTTGTTTGCTAGTCGCAGATCCATCCCGATCTGTGTTTGTTCAAACAAACGCTTCAGAATGGCTGTTCTTTCCATGAACACCTGGATTCACATGCAAACAAGGGTATTCCTTACTTGTGAAGGAACTGCTTGCCACCTGTTTGTAAAGTTAGAGTCGTCCAATCAGGGAGCAGAAACAGGACTGGTCACAGCTCATAGTGAATAATCAAAGACAGTCAAAAAGCAACGTGCTGAACATAGGTTGAAATCCCTTTCTGACTATCTAAATTCTTACATGGTGCATCTGTTTGTCTATTTGTTGAGCAATTAGGAATAAAAAATCAAAGTCCATTTGCAAATAATTTGCAAACAGAAAGCAGAGCTAAATTCATCAGCTAAATGGTTTGTTACTAATAGTTTCCCATCCCTAGCTATGAGCAGTAGGTCTGCTACAGCCCATTCTCCCTTGATTCGTGCCTGATCTGAGCTGAAATTTGTTCCATATCCATGAAGCCTTACCTTCAAGGTATCTAAAAGACAGACTGAAACTCCACATTGAAGATCATGGTCCATAACGTCTCTCCTCTGGCATAATGGAACTTTCCACAATAAGAGTAAAGTTCATCAGTACAGGAGACAGAGCTTTCTTGGGGGCCAGTCCAAGACTGTGTAATGAAGTCCACCAGGAACTCAGGATCAGTACTAGCCCCACCTTCTGCTCAAATTCAAGGTATATTCCTTTGACTTTGCCTTCTCTAAACTAGCCACAGCCTGAGACTAGGACTTTCTTTCTATGGTGATGCATTTAGCCTGTTGGGGAGGAGGCAGGTATGTCCTGAAATACAGTAAGGTGGTTTTTGATTACACTGCCCGCTGAAGGTTTTTGTAAGCTACTGTGTACATATCTGAGGGGATCTACTCTGTTCACAGTGTGTGCAAATTTTGTTAGTGCTAACACGTGTGTAGCGCTTTCCATTGGGCTTCTCTCGGTGGTGGAGGAGAGGTGGTGATGGTGATGATACGGGCCACGAGGAGGGGATGCAGTGACATTTCTGTGTTCTATGCTGCAATTTACCTGTTTAAGCATCCATCCAGTCAGTGATTAGTCCTTCGGTTCTGCTCATCTGTGTCCTTTCAGCTCCTTTAAAAATGAACCTAGATTTTCCAGTCTAGTTCTAAATGGCTCAAGCAATGGAGTTTCCCCCATCGTGGAGCCTCTTCACAGGATGATAGGCTTTGTCAGGATGCGTCCCTGGTGCTCAGCCTCAATTTTCCCTTACCCTTCTAAATAACTCCCCTCCTTCCTTGGTCTGCACTCCCCAGTTACGCTTGGACTGTTATCATACCCTCTACCTCAAGCTATATAGAGTTAGCTCTTTCCATCTTTTCTCATAAATCACATCCTCCAACCCTCCAATTTCTCAGTCCCTCTCTGGCCTGATGCTGCACTGAACACAGTACGCCAGAGCGAGGATCTCCATTCCCTGCTCCAGAGACAGCAGCTCTACCAGATAAGGGGCATGGGAGTCTCTCCACTAGTCAAGCCATGAGCTTCACTCAGCTGAGTGTTGATCTCACTTAGGGTGCAGAGGCCAACAGTTGAGGGACAGAGGATTGATGAAATCGGACACAGTGGAATTTGGAAAAGATGATTTTGGTGTTCAACAAATAGAATAAGGGGTCACACATGAACTCCCCAGCCTTAGACTCTGCAGTATACCAAGTTCTGTTTAGCAAAGCACTATCATTCTCAACTGCCCTGCAGGGTTAGAACCCCAGTTGGGCAGGTGCATGCTGGGAAATGTAGTCCTGCAAAAAATCCACTCTAGGGACATGGTTAAAGGTGAGGAAGGTGCAATGATCCTAATTTCCCACTGCCCTTGTAAGAGAAAGAAGAGAGCTTCCTTGCTCAGGGAAACAGCTCTCCACCTAGAGGGTATGAATCCCCAAGAGGGGCTGGCTCTGCCTTCTGCAATGAAGTTTGCCCTCCTGAACTCTCACTTATTCCTGTCATTCCGTGGGCTAAACCAATTCATTATTACAGGGATCTCAGTCACTCCCTAGACAGTGAACCAGACCGGAGTCCTCCCGGCCCCTCATGCTGCAGGGCATCAGCAGCTGATTGCTGGCTTGGGAGGTGAATGGAAGGGGTGTCATTTTCCCCTTGTGGAATAGGGAATGTACATTTAGGGGCTTGGTGTGTGTGAGAGGATGGGGGAGGAGGGTCATATCTTTCTCTGAAGCACCTGGCATCAGCCCTTCTCAGAGATACAATATGATCACTCACCTCTTCTAGTACGGTGACTCCACTGCTCCATTCTCTGTATGGAAACACAGCCAGAGGCTGATCCTGAACCCAACAACCTGCCACTGAATTTCCTCCTGATCCCAGTCGATTACCCCCTCCGCCCCAACTGCTAAATTCTTCCACTCCTAGGGAAATGTTCCCCTCAGCCCTCAGCGCTGTGCTGTGTCTGAGGTGGTGAAAGCTCTGTCCCCATTTCTCCATCAGGTCACTGTTGCAGGGGGACTGAGCTCAAGACTTTCCCCATGAAATGACATTCTCTAATCCAGGAGGAGTGGAGGTGGGTCAGGAAGACAGGGGTCATTATATAGATTCAGGTCCCCCATGAGGACCTAGCTCCTGCCTAACATTAACACTACAGGACACCACTGTGGGGTGCTGCATGGTTAAAGGTGATGCCCTCTAGGTGAGACATTAAAGAGGGATGTCTTCAGCCAGCCACCCCAGGGAATAGGGAACAGGCAGGGACTAGCCCAGATGTCGTGGCCAGCAACCCCTCTCTCAGTGAAGTGGCTGTGATGTCCCAGGCTGGGTGAGAGCTAATATAAAGTGCAGAATGACTCCTGTAATGCCCACCATGGTCACTGCTCTTCTGCCACCTTCTTCATTGCTTTGGACAGCCGTGGGGTTCGCTGCAGTTGAAATATGTTACAGGAGAGCAAATGCTATTCATGGGTTATTCTTTTGTCTGTTGTTTTTTCATCCTCCCACTGCTGCATGGATGACGCAGCCACGGCCCCCCAGGGGCTGCGATGGGATGCAATGGGAGCAATGCAGCACCATCTGACAGAGCTCTGCTGCATGGGCGATTCAATGCCCTCATTCAGTGCTCTGACGCCAGGGCGGTACAGACATCCTGCAGGGCTCCGCTGCACGCCAGGTGCAGCTACCTCCCGTTGACTAAAGCTTTGCTGTATTGGTCAGTGAGCTGGGGACAGGTGGGGCCAGATGGTCTCTTAGGGAAATGGCATTTTTTAACGAGATCTGTTTCCTCAAAGGTCCCCTTAAGGTGTCCATTCTCCATTGACCTCAGCAGCTGGCCTGGCCTGCGATTCTAGGCAAGGCCTGGAACAGCACAACGCATGGGTGACAGTTCACGCAAACTCAAAGGCCTCTTTGTATAGGCCAATTCCTATACACTCAGGGGAAGGGACATTTCGTTTTCAAAGCATCGCAAGTGCCTTTGAGTGACCGCAATGCCTCCCGCTGCTGGGGGCCTAATACAAAATGGCATCCATGCCGTGAAGAATGTCACTGGCTGAAAGCCCCACAGCCATAGGGGCTACTGATGCCCCAGGCAGGGGGGTTGTGTGCCTGCCTCTCTCTACAGTGACAGTGGCTGGAGCCCAGGGAACTCTCAAAGCCTCTAGGAAGTTTCCTGTCTGACGTCCTAGCAGAAGCATTGGGTCCCCAACCGCTGCCAGTCCTAGGCTTCCGGCAGGGGCTCCAGCCTGGAGCCCCCCTCCGCTATCAGCTCACCAGATGCTTTTTCAGGATACTGTGGTAAAACTGTGCAGGGCACAAGCTGCAATTTGGGGTTTTCTCTGGTGTCAGCCTTGAAGACAAATTGGATGGGAAAAAAATGATGCCCCTGTCAATGCCCATTAGTCACTCTTGTTTTCCTCCTGTGTGTGCAGAGAAGAAGCAATGGGTCCCCCAAGCGGACGAAAGTGGGTGGACAGTGGGGGGTTGAATGTCTGGAGGAGCTTGGCCAACGGTTGCCCTGGCCTGAAAGGGGTAAGATGTTCCCAACCTGTTGTAGTCATTAGCTTCTTGAGTCAGATCAATTGTGTTGCCCCCTAGTGGTAAAACAGGCTGTATTGCGCCGTCTGACTCCCATCTCAGATGCATTTCAAGCATTTGGGAGAAAGAGGAGGTGTGAGCACACCCTTTAGCACAGTAGGCCATGATGTGCATCACAAAGTGATTCCAGGGTTTACCAGGAGGTACACACAACATCCCCCTGACCCCAGGTGAGAAAGTACCCCGATCCAGTCCCTGGGGCATGCCAGGATCCACCGTAACGGAGTGTAGACGAGTAGGGCCCAGGCAGGAATTCAATGTTCATTCTATGTTAATGGCCACTTGCTGCA